CTGAAGAGCTGAGGGACAGCGCCCAGGTCCAGAGTTCAAGCCCCACGACCGACAAAAAAAAAAAAACACTATATTAGTAAGGCAAAAAATATGTAGATTAGGTAGGCAAGGATAAATCATTTGGGGACTATCCAGTGAATAGAGATAGATGAACAGAGACTAAGAAACAAGAGGGCAATCATCAAGCAAATGAATACACACATAATGAGAGTCGTGGGGAAAAAATAGGGACACAAAGAATATCTAAACAAATAATGAGAAAAATTTCCCCAAATTGATGAAAACTTGAATCTACAAGAAGAGGAATAAGAAAATGGTAAGAAAAAGGACAAAGGGTGAACCAATGCAACAGCAATACAAGACACATTGCTGGAAATGAACTTTACAATTTGAGGTAAGGGAAATTGGGAGAAAAACAAGAGGAGGGTAACAATATTCAACAAGAACTCATTGCCTTACTTATGTAACAATAACCCCTCTGTACAATACCTTTACAATAAAATTTAAAAATAAATAAATAATTGAAAATGAATTTAAAAAAAGAACAAGAAGCTCAATATTTTCAGTTAAATTAAACTCAAAGAGATCTTCCTCAAATACATTTTCAGGCAAAATCCATAAAGACTTGTGATCACAACAAAGAGAAGCAACTAATCACATACAACGGATCTTCAATTAATAGAAATATGATGACTAAATGAGACATAAAAAGGGGAAACAGTTTTCAAAACAATTTGCACAAAGTTAGCAACAGCTAATTCACTGGTGAATTCTACCAAACAAAAAAGAATTAATGTAATTCTTCACAACTCTTTCAAACTATAGAAGAGAAAGGAAGGCATCTAAACTTGTTCTATGTAGCCAATCGCACACCCTAAAACCATAATCAAAGATAGCACACAAAACAACAGACAAATTTCCCTCATGAATAGTCATAAAAATCCTCAAAAGCTAGCAACCAGATCTACAGATTATAGTCAAATGTTATTTATCCCAAGAATGCAATGTTAGTTGAAACTATAAAAATCAATTCACACAAATAATCATTTCTATATATGTAAAATAAATTTGACAAAATCTAACATTATTTCATAATAAAAACATTCAAGAAATTAGTGACAGAAACTCCTTCAACCTGATTAATAACATTAATAACATTAAAAGCCAAGTGTAGTGGCTCAGTCTAATTCTAGCTATTTAGGTGACTGTCATAGATCAGGGAATCAAAGATGCTAACTTGGGCAAGAAAAGTTCACAAGACTCAATTATGGCCAATAGCTGGGTGAGGTAGTATATATTTATCATTCAGCTATACATCTAGTCTGGGCATAGACTGATATCTTATCTCAAAAAGTAACTAACACAAAAAAGGACATTAGAATGGCTCAAGTGGTAGAGCACTTGCCTAGTAAATTCAGGGCTCCTGAGTTCAAACCCCAGTACCCTAAATAAAGGTATGTGTAAAATACTTATGTGCTCATAGCTCAGACCATACTTAATGGTAAAAACCGAAACCTTTCCTTTCTAAGGTCAGGTGCAAAATGGATATTTGATATCATCAATACTGAACTGCAGATTCTAACTGAAACAACTGGCAAGAAAACTAGGCATTAATATTGGAAAGTAAGAAACATAACCGTATTTAAAGATGTCAAAGCCAGGTGTTTGGTAGCTCACATCTATAATTCTAGCACTCAGGTGGCTAAGATCTAAGGATCATGGTTTGAAGCCAGACTGGGCAGGAAAGTCCATGAGACTCTATCTCCAATTAACTACCAAAACAGCTGGAAGTGGAGCTGTGACTCAAGTGGTAGATAACTAGCCTTGAGCAAAAAAACTCAGACAGCTCTAAGGCCCTGGGTTCAAGCCCTAGCACTGACAAAACACACACACATATACACACATACACACACACACACAAGAAAAAAAAGTCTTAGGAAATTCCCTCCAAAAATTAGAGCAAGTACATGAATTAAGCAAGGTGGCAGGTTATGATATAAACATGAAAATATAAATGTACTTTCATAAACTGACAATAAACAATTCAACATTACATATAACACCAAAATAATAAAATATTTAGAAATAAATTTAAGAAAAGTAATGTAATAGTATACTATAAAGCATCATGAAGAGAAATTGGACTTAAATAGGCATTTCATGTTCACAGAATGGAAAGCTTAATATTGTTAATTTGACCTAGAGATTCAATGCAATTCCTATTTGAAACCCAATGGATATTTTTACAGAAACTGACACTCCTGTTTCTAGAATTAACAAGCAATTGCAAAAAAAAAAAAAACCCATATACAAGCCATAATCATCTTGAAAAGAACAAACTGAAAGGACTCAACATTTAATCATTTCTGAACTTTGTATAAAGCAACAAGGTATTAACATAGAAATAGGCATACGGACTATTAGAATAGAATATTCCATACATAAACCTACACAATTGTCTCTAATTGTTTTGGGGATATTTTTTGTTGGTTTTTGTTTTTTCTTTTGCTGGTTTGGGGTCTTGAACTCAGGGTCTGGGCACCTTCCTTAGCTTTTATACTAAAGGCTAGCCCTCTACCACTTGAGTCACACCTCCACTTTTTACTTTCTGGCTTTTTTAGTGCTTAATTAGAGAGGAGAGTTGCATGGACTTTCCAGCCTGGGCAGGCATCAAACTTGGATCCTCAGGTCTCAGCCTCCTGAGTAGCCAGGATTACAGGCATGAGCCACTGGTTCTCACCTCTTAATTGTTTTCTAATAATGGCATCAAGATAATTCAATGAGGAGAGAAGAGTCTCTTTAATAAGCAGTACTAGAACAGGTAGATAACCATATACTAAAGAATGAGTTTGATCATAACCAATAATTAAATCAAATAGATCAAAGACCTAAATGAAAGAGCTAAAACTATGTCACTCTTACAAGGAAACAAAAAGATATAAATTGTGACTAATGATTAGAAAATAATTTCTTATACTTCATAAATAAAATTAGATTTTATCAAAGTTTAAAATGTGTGTTTCAAAAGACACATTAACAAAGTGAAAATACGATGGGTATGGCATCACAGCTGTAATACCAGCACTAAGGGGAAGGCAGAGGAGTTGTGAGTTTGAAAATCAGGATGCATTCCACAGAATGGAAGAAAATATTTGTAAATCAATCTGATAAGACTCTAACAGTGAGAATTCACAAAGAACTCCACAACTCATCAAAAACAACAAAGTATTAAGAAAGGCATAGAACTTGAATAGGCAAATTTTTCTGCCAAAAAAAGGAGATTTAAATAGCAAAAAAACCCATAAAAGCTCACAACCTGATTAGTTATTAGAGAAATAAAATTCAAAGCCACAGCAAAATAACCCCCCCAACATATGACACATGCACACACACACACACACACAAACACACACACACACACACACGAATGGCTATAACACACACATGCACACACTAGAATGGCTATAATCCACAAAGAAATGCAATTCAAAGCCACAGCAAAATAACCCTCCACCCCATACACATGACACATGCACACATACACTAGAATGTGTGCATGTAGAAAAATCTGAACCTACATACATTGCTTGTTTGAATACAAACAGTACTTTAAATGCTTCGAAAGTTACTTTGGCATTTCTGCAAAAACGTTAAAACTAGCATTAGCAATTTCACCATCATTCTTACTACTAAGAGAAGTGAAAGTATAGAATCACATACAAAACAACATTATTCAGCCATAAAAATGAATGATATAGGGTCTGTGAATGTGACTTAGCAGTAGAATGCTTGCCTAAGCATGCCTGAAGCTCTAGGTTTGATTACTCAGTACCACATAAACAGAAAAAGCCAGAAGTGACACTGTGGTTCAAGTGGTAGAGTGCTGGCCTTGAGCACAGAGAGGCTCAAGGACAGTGTCCCGACCCTGAGTTCAAGCTCTAGGACTTGTAAAAAAAAAGGATGATATCGCAAGAATGAGCCTCAACATTATACTAAGTGAAACAAGCCAGACACAAAAGGCCACACACGACACACAATTCTAAACCAAGAGTAGTTAAGTGGTATCCAGGGCCTGGACAGTGACTCCTTAATGACTATAGTGCTTCTATTGACAGTGATTAAAAATGTGAGATTAGATAGTGCTGTTTGTTGTCTAAGCTTGTCAAGACACTACAATGATTGAACTATACATATTAAAGGAGAAATAGTAAAGGAGACATTTTATGGCAAATAAATTTAAACTAATAAAAAATGAAAATGTTGCTGGGCACCAGTTGCTCACACATATAATCCTAAATATGCAGGAGGCTGAGATCTAAGGATCACAATTTGAAGCCAGCCCAGGCAGGAAAGCCCAGAAGATTTATCTCCAATAAACTCCAAATAAAGCTGAAAGTGAAGTTGTGTTCAAATGACAGAGCACTAGCCTTGAGCAAACTAAAAACTCAGGGAAACCACCCCAGGCCCTGAGTTCAAGCCACAGGACTGGCACCTAAAAATGTAAAAATTGAAAATGTAGTTCTTATGCCTATCAAATCTTGAAAATGCAAGATATTTATGATATATAGATCCCATTTTTCAAATGGGATCTGTCAAATTTACTATCAAACTGCCCACATTTAACATCATAGCGTGTGTTACATAACAAAGAAAAACATTACAGGGAACTTGAGGTAACAGAAATACTATCCTTCATACACTTAAGCAGTTATAGCACACTGATTTAGACCCAGAAGATTGATATGAAACAATTTTAATTCATTTTCTTGAGTATGTATGTTTTTTGAGACAGGGTCTTAGTCTGTGGTAGCTCAGGATTGCCTGGAATTCAAGATCTTCCTGTCTCAGCCTTCTGAGTACTAGGATTATAGGCATACACTGCCAACATCTGCTTTTAATTCTTTTCTGCAGAAGGAAAAGGAGCTTAGGAGACTGGAACAAGTAGATATAGTTAAATACTAATAAATTTCTCAGAATTACTGAAATCACATTTGTAATACCTGGATTATATGGTGATCCCACTATTTTCACTGTTTCCTGGGTCAAGCGAAAACCTCTTCGTAACCGAACAAAATATTCAACTATGGAAAAACAAAAACAAATGATCAAAACTTTACCTCCTAACAAATTCCAAACTATTTAAGTGGTGGAATATTATATTTGATGTTGCCTCCAGGAAAGAATCATAAATCAGTCTCCTTTGACATCTTGTTTCTCTGTCCCAGCACTATTCACACATTCTAATGAATCTAACCTACCTACACACCTGGCTTTTTATTGTATCTTCTCATACATTTTCTTTTACAAGTCCCAATCTTCCACCATTCCAGATCCAAATTATAATCTCTCCTCCTTCAGGTATCACTTGTTCTTATTTTTTGCCTGTCACAATACAGTAGTACCAACTCTCTTCTAATGTTCATTCTACATTGTAGTACATATTTGTGCACATACATAATTTATTCATAATGATAAATTTCACTGACTGATGTATCTGTACATATATCAATTTATTAAGTATCACTACCAAGCATGACAGCTTTCATATAAGAACTATTAAAAGATTGTGAAAGCCGGGCGCTGGTGGCTCACGCCTGTAATCCTAGCTACTCAGGAGGCTGAGATCTGAGGATCGCGGTTCAAAGCCAGCCTGGGGAGGAGAGACCAAGAGACTCCTATTTCCAATAAACCACCAGAAAACCGGAAGTGGCGCTGTAGCTCAAGTGGTAGAGCGCTCGCCTTGAGCTGAAGAGCTGAGGGACAGCGCCCAGGCCCAGAGTTCAAGCCCCACGACCGACAAAAAAAGAAAAAAGAAAGAAAAGATTGTGAAATATATTCTGACATTCTCCATTCACTGTCAAATAAATATATTGATAGGCGTGATGTTGTGAACAGAACAAAGGGGAAAGCATTATACAAGTGCAACATTGCAAGGCACTGTTTCCATGTACCAGCAGCAAGTTAATCAAGTTTAAGAGTGTAGAAATAGAAGCTACAGACCTGAGTTTAAGTGCAAATTGTGCCACGTACTAGCTTTAGAATCACTTTAAACTCTAGTAGCTTCATTTTTCTCACCTGAAAATGGGGTTGACATCAATTCAAACCCTACAATGCAACTGTAGAAACTGAGTGGAATATTGTATTCACTATGAAATGCTACACAATATCAAGTTTTTACTACTAACAATTTACATGTTCACATATGAGATGATTATGCTACTTCTTACATCCTCATGGATCTAATTTTGTTATTGGAAGGGGAAAAAACCCAAAATTTTAAAATGAAAATCTTTCACCAACAGGGTAATTTAAAGGCTATTCTCTTAGAACATTCTGCCTTCCAGGTGCCTGAAGTTTGTTCCTCCCGTGATCTCCATTAACTCCATTTCTGTCCTTACTCCATCTTAACCCTTGATTCTCTCCACATTTATATTCGGAGATGACTTCTTTTTCTTTCTCCCTTCTGTGGACAAGTTTTACCAGTTCAAGTAAGTCTTTTTGTATTCTCTGTATTTATTTAAAAAAAAACAATAGGACGTAAAGACAAAGAAACGCACGCCCCCCAAAACCTTTCTAGGTTAACAAATTCCATTAAACTCTCCGTTCCTTCTTAAGCGTCTATCCGAGAATTACCTAAGTAAAACTTGGGACACACCTACTTCAGTTCTTCCACCTGTCAACACTAGAAAAGAAAAAGAAATCGGCGCAGGTGCTGCATCTTGCGTCTGGCACCGACAGATGGCGCGCTCGCACCACAGACGCCTTAAAAGCCGCGGGCTGCGCGCAGGTTCGGCAACCCCATAGTCGTTTTAGGAAACGCTGGGCCGCGGAGCTGGGCGGCGAGCCGTGGACTGCGTGGAGCCACTGTACACGTTACACCTGGAGGAGTGGCTATCACGGGAGGTCCACACATTTAAAACGCGCGCCCACCTGGGCAAACGTGGTTACGCTACTCGACCTAAAGCTGGGTGGTCCGGGCCGGGTGAGACAAGCTTTTCTGTCTGTGAACGGGGAACACGTGACTCGGGAAGCCGACTGCTCCGGGGCGCCGCGGTTGCCTGGGGAACAGCGCGCCGCCCGCCCCCCCTCCCGGGGCGCCCGCCCTCACCTGACGGGGAAGACCTCTCGAGGAAGGCGGACAGGAGGAGGAGGAGGATGGCGGCCGGGGTGACCCACGAGCGCCTGAGGCGGGCCCTCCGCCACCCCTGCCACGCCCGGACGGGGGCCGAAGCCTCCATCCACAGGCCGCCACCCGCCGACGCTGGGCGCAGAAGGTCGTTGCCAGGCGCGCGCCCACCAGCTGCCGGAAGTTGGCGGGCGGTGGACCGGAAGGACGGACCCGAGGAACGCACCTCCACTTCCGCTCGGGCCGCAGGTAGGAGTGGAACTGGGCCCGAGGGGAGGCACGCGCCCTCCACCACCGATTGTTAAGCGGGTCTTGGGGGTCAACACCTGGTGAGAACTAGGCATCTTGGAGAGCCTAAGAGAGTGGTCGAAGATTCTAGAGCTTCGAGAACCTTCAGCCTCAACTCTGTAGCTTTCCCATTTGAATGGCGTTTCTAGAATGCCCAGCCTAGAAGGTCATCCGACCACCTCAGGTCGGACAAAACGTTATGCAACAAACAAACAGGAACAGATAGCTCGTAATTCTGGCAACTGTGGAGGCTGAGAACCCACGCAGGAAAGTCCCTGAAACGTTTATCAACAATTAACCACAAAGGTTGGAAGTGGTAGAGCGCTAGCCTTGAGCAAAGGAGCCCAGGGTCAGCGCCCAGGCCCAGAGTTCAAGGCCCAGGACCAGCTCACACACACAAACTATGTGTTTTACAGTGAGAAACGAGCCTCTGATTGGTGTTTCTGGAAGGAGTTACTTAACGCTCACAACACTATACTATAAATCGGTCGTATGCAGGTGATGTAAAAATATCCAAGAATGAAGTCTCAACAACAAACAGGATGGAGTTTTGTCACCTTTATTTAATAGGAATCAATGAGTGATACTGAGTTCAAGCCCCAGGACTAGCATCGCATGTGTGCACTATCCGCGTAAGGAGACTGTGTCTTAAATTGAAAGACAGTCATGCCTCTGATCTACACTTCTGGAAAGGTTTACTGATTGCTAACGTCAATATACTAGACGTAAGTCATATGCAGTTGTTGCAGAAACAGTGAAGTTGTCAACAACTAAAAATAGGAGGAGTTTTGTCACCTTTATAGGAATAAATGATGATACTGACCAGACTGAAAAAATCACTGTATGTTTGGATATACTATGTTACAAATTTCAAACTGACAGCCTAACAATTTCATTCTCATGAGCATTCAGTTATACCACAGACAGCTTCACTCCTTGTTGTCTTGCAGTTGGCCTGATTTATTTATTACATGCCTGGCTCCTTTGAGCACTGTCCTGAAATTCTAATGATTAAAATTGCTTTCATGCAAAACCAAATTGACAGGTTGAAGAGTGTTTAAATGAAGTGGTATATTATTTTTTAATGAGATCTTTATAAGCTAATAACTTTAGTTTTTTGAAATGACCCACTAATTCTGCATGTCTGAGTAGTATTAAAGGAATCAAGGATACCTTAGGGATATGTGAAAGATCAGTCTTTACAATTTGTCAATTTTCTTAAAATGTAGATACATCAACTTTAGTATAATGCGGTGTATTTAAATTGTAATACATTTCAGGTGTTATAGTTTATTAGGTAAATGCTTTATTGTATTCACATGCATTCTTTTAAAATGTAAATAGATCATCTGCCTTGACTCCTTACATAGGTGTCATTTTATACATAAAATGTAAATTTATGAAAAATTTAATAAATATGGATTTCCTGAGAATTGAAGAGAAATATACTATGGAAATACTACTCTAATGCTATATTTTTATTGGTATTGTTTTACCTAAGAATTCCTGGGGGGGGTTTTGATGATGATGTTTTGTACCTGGGATTGAACCCAAGGCCCTTACATTCTAGGAGAATGTACTACCACATGAACCTCCCCAGCCTTGTTTTGCCTAATAATTACATTGTGATGTACATAATATAAGGATTGATAAGTAAGAGTTCTAGTTGTTGCTAAGAAACAATGGCTGTGCCCTACTTATTCTTAGGTGGACAAAGCATTCTTACATTAACCAGGAAAAGAAAACTACCTATATTTAGAAAGCTGAATCAATAGTTTTACGTCAAGTTAACCGTAATCTTCCATTGTTGGACATATGGGATTTTTTTAGATAAAAAAGAATCATCAGAACAACTTTACAGGCCTCAAAGTTTGTAAAGAAAAAGACCATGGACATGGAAACCCAATACACACCAAAGAAGATAAAGTTCCCAATAAGGACCATCCTTTGTAGAAGAAAGGCTGTTGAGAATGTAGACTATCCACATTACTGCGATGTCTTGAGAAAATTGAACATACCTTCTGTGAAAGGTCATGAGGATAGACATGACTGTGGCAGATTTGAAAAGAAAGGCGATCCTGCTTTTCTTAAATTTCATCCTTACCCCCCTTCATTCCTGCCAGACTATCATTTATACTGTCCTTATCCCCCTCCATATGGTTCACATTATCCATTGTTTCCACTTCGGGATGATGTGCCCTTATGTGACCCCTGTTCAGGGTTTGTCAGTCCAGGCAGTGATGCTGATTTAAAGCCTGGCATTGGCAGAACCATACCAAACTTGGGGAGTTTCAAAGATGTGAAACCTCAAAATCGAGTTCCTAGACCAGACACGGGATTTCAAACAACAATAAAAAGGCAGACAATTTTATTAGAAGAACTACAGCAGGACAGGAAATGGAATTCCAGGGCAGTACAAAACATTTCCATCAGAGCAAGACTTGGAGGTAAATTTTAAAAAACGTAGAATTTTTACATACTCTTACATGTTCCAGTGAGGCAAAAACAGAAGAAGATACATACAAAGTTATGTGTGGGGATGTGGAGTTGGGGGAGGGATGTGTGCACATGCCAGTACTGGGGCTTGAACTCAGCCTGGGCACTGTTCCTGAGATCTTTATATTTTTCTCAAGCTTAGTACTCTACCACTTGAGTCACATTTTTATTTCTGGCTTTCTGGCAGTTAATTGGAGATAAGAGTGTCATAGACTTTCTTGCCTGAACTGGCTTCAAACCATAATCCTCAGATCTCATCCTCCCTAGTAGCTAAGATTACAGGCATGAGCCACTCGTGCCCAGCCAAAGATTCAAATTTTAATCGTTAGTTTAGTATAAAGAATAAGATAATTATTTTTTGGCAGGAGTGGGGGTACTGGGATTTGAACTCAGGATTTTGTATTTGCTGGGCTGACATGATAACATGAAAATCTGAGCCACACTTCCAGTCCCAAGACATTATCATAAGAAAATAATAGAATAAAACATAAACCTATATTTAACAAAATTTGGCTAAAAATATGACTCATTCATTTCAGTGATCAACATGAAACATAATTTATTAGACTTATATACATATAAATATACTTATTTTCCCATAAGACAAGATTTTTTAGTACTTTGATAATTGTGTAGCAAGATTCCTTATCTCTTTCTTTTGAAAATGACCTGCTGATGGTTACCAAAGTCAGATAGCAGGAGCTTCAATGAAATGGTGAGTAAATTGGTGAAGTAGATGTAATCTCGGGGTCCAGTAAGAACAAGAGCTGAACACAACCTCTGCACCAATAATTTTCTAGTCCTAAAGGCAAGTTTGATTCCTTTCTGTAATGTGTATTGTCTGGGTTCTCTGTAGGAGAGCTGGCCACCAGCTTGGGCTCAGAAGTGGTAAGAAATGCCTCCAAAGGAAAACCACAGGAAATATTTCCTTTATGGAAGTGTGTGTTGCATGCAGAAAGTGAAAAATAATAAAGATATTTGATTGTGTGTAAAGAAGAAGGTAAAATGCTATAGCAGGAGATGCTGGCTGGGTCTAGTCTGAAAGACAAACTCTTCCACCGCTCTTCTGTAGCCACTCTTAAACCAGAGGAAGAAGAAAATATGTGACAGGAGAAGCCATCATGCATTGGGAGTATTCTTCACTAGGAAGCCAGATACAGGAAAGTATAAAAGACAAAAGGCAGTCAAAATTAAAAGCCGCACAGAAAATTCCAGCTCCACTCTTCAGAACCCTTTAAGTCAGGTGCACAAATTTGGAGAGAGGTAAGTATATGAAGAGAGTTATGCTTCATATTTTCACTCCAAATTAGAAAAATGTATATACAAGATGCAGGGCACCGGAATCAAATACAGTGAAAGTGAAAACAGGGGTTATACTGTGGGGGAAGAACATAAAAAAGAAATAAAAAAATCAGTACATTATAAATATGTTACAATAGCAAGAAAGGAAAAACCATTTGTGTCCCTATCTTAAGGTTCATTTCGCTTAACATCATCTTATATGGTCATATGTATATAGCTTTTGACCTTTTCTGCTTGTCCTAGACATATACTAGCTATTGTAAGTGGAGAGGGGAAGGGAAATAACAAAATGCTAAAATAAGGATATAGGTTGACCCATTGTAACAATGAGATGTATATGTTGAAAATGAACTTTACATTTTTGAGGGAAGTGGGCAGAGTTGGGGAGGTGGGGGGAAGGGATGTTAGGAAAAAAGGAGGAGGTAACAATGCTCAATAAGAAATGTATTCATTACCTTACTCATGTAACTGTAACCCCTCTGTACAGTATTTTTACAATAAAAAACATATTTAAAAAATTTACTTCGTTATGGCCTTTTCCTATGGGCTAAGGGAATTCCCTAAGGTATAGAATTTTCTTATAAAGACTATAAATGAGATTCAACAATCTGAGGAATTATAATTCACTAGAAATACTATCTAGGGAAATAATATGTTACCCCAAACCAAACATATTTGTATCTACAAATTACAAATATTATCTTAGGTGCCAAAAAATGCTTATGTATTATCAATAAGGGAACCACTGGTGATTTCAGGCCCAGCTCTCAGCCATTTATCTGATCCTTGAGCATTTTCTAGTCAAGAAGGAGTTTGTATTCAATCTTTGTAACATTTCAATGCATCAGAGTGTATTTATTGTCAAGAATACTTTATTGAAGGAATTAGTGTTATTCTTCCTATTTTAGAAAGCATGCTCATTGTCCTGTGAAAAACAATTTCCCTGTGTATACAGGTAGTATCTTGTAAATTATTTCTAGAGTGGATTAGTCTCTTCCATACTTCAACATATCTAACCTGACCCCCAACATTTTTACTCAGTGCATCATACTTGTTAGGTTGGTGCTCTACCACTTGAGCTCACTCTTAGCCTTTTTTTTTTGCTTTTTATCTGGAATGCAATTCTCCTATTTATATTCCCCTACTAGAGACTGTATCAGTCCTTGAACACCTGGGAGGACAATTGTGCAACACCATGCTGCAGCTGTTTATTGGTTGAGTGGCAGAGGGAGAAATTCATGAAACTTTCCAGGCTGACTTTGATCCATAAGCCTTTCTATCTCTGCCTTCTAAGTAAGATTATAGGCCTGAGCCATCATATTTGTCTCCAATTTGAAACTTCTAAATTCACATTTTTGCCAAGATAGATTATGCATCAAAAGCTATGACTTAAGGACAGACTCAGAAGCATCTATTCTTCCCATGAGCTGGAGGAAGACCCTCTACGGAAACCAACAGTGCCACTACAATATCCACAACTATTCTAGTCACCTGTACAAACCAGAGTCATTTTTCAAAGTAATCATTTCTTTCTAATTAATGTTCACTACCATTGGGATAATCCATCTGCATGCTAAGACAAAGGTTTTGTCTGCTGACTTCCATGTCCTGTTCATCTTTCACCATTCCTCATCTAGCTATAAACAATACATTATAGTTTCTTGAGGTTGTGATACTGTACACTGAAAATGCATTTTTCCTACCTGTAATAACTTCCCTTCTCCTACCTTACCTTTTTAAATTTAGTTTACCTTTTAAATTCAGGTTTTGGTGGGTTGGTTGATTGGTTGTAGGACTTGAATTCAGGGACTGGGCACTGTCCTGAGGCTCTTTTTCCTCAAGGCTAGCACTCTACCACTTGAACCACAGTGCCACCTCCAGTTTTTGAGTGGTTAATTGGAGATAAGAATTTCACATGGACTTTTCTTCCTGGGCTATACTCAGACTGCAATCCTTGTTTGTGATTGTTTGAGTAAATGCCCATAGGGGTCTTAGGGGAGCTCTATGTGGAGTCTTTTGAGGAACCTCCATACTGCTTTCCAAAGTCGTTGAACAAGTTTACACTCCCACCAGCAGTGGAGTAGGGTTCCCATCTAGCCACATCCCCTCCAGCATCTGTTGGTATTAGATTTCTTGATTATAGTCATTCTAACTGGGGTGAGGTGGAATCTCCATGTTGTATTGATTTGCATTTCTTTTATGGCTAGAGAAGTTGAGCATTTCTTCATGTGCCTATTGGCCATTCTTTCCTCTTCAGAGAAGTTTCTCTTTTTTAGCCCACTTATTTATGGGCAGTTGTTTCTTTGAGGATGTAGTGTTGGGGGATTTAATTTTTTGAGTTATAAGTATATTTTAGATATGAGACCCTTGTCTATTGTATGGCTAGTGAAGTTCTTCTCCCAATCCGTGAGCTTTCTATTGATCTTGCTAGCTATGTCCTTTGCCATGCAGAAACTCTGCAGTTTCATGCAATCCCATTTTTCCAACCTTTCTTTGATTTGTTGTGTTTCTGAGTCTCTATTATACTAAGGCTACCAGCACAACTATGTTTATGGCAGCATTATCTACCACAGTTAAGATATGGAACCAACTCAGATGCCCCTCAGTAGATGAATGGATCAAGAAAATGTAACACACACACACACACACACACACACAATGGAATTCTATGCCTCCATCGGAAAGAATGACATTGCCCCATTTGTTAGGAAATGGAAAAACTTGGAAAAAATTATATTAAGTGAAGTAAGCCAGACCCAAAGAAACATAGGTCCCATGTTTTCCCTTTTTTGCAATAACTAGTACATATCTAGGACAAGCAGAGAAGGTCAAAAGCTATGTACATATGACCATATGAGACGATGATAAGCAAAATGAACCCCAAGATAGGGACACAAATATTTTTCTTTCTTGCTGTTGTTTCTAACATATTTATAATGTACTATATGGTTTTTTTTGTTTCTTTGTATGTTCCTCCCCCACAGTATAACCCGTTTTCACTGTATTTGATTTCAGTGCCCTGCATCTTGTATATACACTTCTCTAATTTGAAGAGAGGAAAGGAAAAAACAAAATGCTTAAATAGAGATACAGGTTGACACATTGTAACAATGAGATGTACAAGACAGTATGTTGAAAATGAACTTTACAACTTCCGGCAAGGTGGAGGGGGGTAGTTGTGGAGGTGGTAAGGAAGGGAAGGTAGTGGAAAAACAAAGGAGGAAGGAACAAGGCTCAATAGGGAAATGTGCTCATTACCTTGCTCATGTAACTGTAAACCCTCTGTACAGTATTTTTACAATAAAAATAGTTCAAAAAACTGCAATCCTCAGATTTCAGCCTCCTGAGTGCTAGGATTACAGGCACAAACGGGAGCCCAGCTTAAATTCAGTCTTTAAGATTGGAGCAGGTGTCATCTTCAGAAAGATGTTCCCAACTTCCTAAAACCTAGCTGATTAATATCTCCTCTCTACACTTCAAAGAACTCTGGATTTATTATTGTTGTCCCTTCTATTTCCAATATTTACATGTTTGAATTTTCTACTTGCTTTTGGGCACTTCAGGTTTAGCGACACTCTTTTACCATCTAACTTATGGGACAGTAAATATTTTTGAAAGCTAATTTATATAATATACACATAATTTATAAATCACGTATGCAATTTATACATATCTAAACATATGTGATTTATATATTAACATATATATGATTTCTATATATGAATGCAATTTACATATATATAAGTTTTATCACACATTCTCTCTATATATATATGTACATGCACACACACACACACACACACACACACACAAACAGAACCCCACATATGTTTTTGTGAGGTTTTTGGCGAGAACCAGAATTTGAACTCACCCTCAATCACAACTAGTATTCTTCCACTTAAGCCACACTCCAGTCCACTTTTTGCTGGTTCCATGGAGATGGAGTCTTCAGACTATTCTGCATGGATTTGCTTCAAAATGTAATCCTTTAGGTCTCACTCAGTCTTCTGAGTGCTGAGATTATAGACATGATCCACTGGGGGCTGGCTTGATTTTGTAGTTTTATAAAATATGTTGCCAATTTCTTAGGACTTCTAACTTGTCAATAAATGAATTACCTGCATAATAACCAGTCTTTGTGTGCATCACAATGTTCCCTAACATACAAATACATATATCTACAGCCATAGTTCCCAACTGGTCTCTTCAAATAATTTTCCAGTGCTTTTATTTAAAATTTTATTTTATTGTAAAGATCCTACACAGAGGGCTTACAGTTACATGAGTAAGATAATAAGTACATTTCTTGTTGGGCATTATTACCCCCTCTTTTGTTTTTCTCCCACTATTCCTTTTCTCCCCTACCTCCCTAACTCCTTTCCCCTCGAAGTTGTGAAGTTCATTTCTAATATCGTGTCTTTTGAGTATCATTGTTGCAATGGGTCATCCTGTGTCTTTGTTTCAGCATTTTGTTATTCCCCTTCCCCGCCCCAAATTAGATAAATGTACATACAAGATGCAATGTGTCAAAATCAAATCCACATATACACATATGGTATATATCAATACATATATACCATAGGAGGGAGAACATACAATAGAAACCAAAAACCCACAAAATACATTGAAAACAACAACAACAAAGAAAAACTTCTTGGATCCATTTCTTGCTAACATGGACATTCAAGACATTCATTACTGTGAGATCCAGGAAAGTTATTACGTGCTCCATTAAAAATCAATTCATTTTAGCTATCTAATGGAAAAAATGTTTCTGATAGAAGAAAAATGTTGGCTTTGAACTCAAAACATATCCACTTTTGGTTTTTAGGATGGACAAGCAAATCAAAAGTTATTCCTGATTCACCTCACCAGGAAGGCTTTCCAGTAGATCATACATACGTGTTTGATGATGAACCAACAACTACAGTAAGACCTTGCAACTAGGTGGCACTATATAGAATTTATTTCAGTCTCTGATTTTGATAGTTTATCATCTACAAAAGTAGCTACTGTTTGTATTTGTTTCTGATACACCAAACACTGTACAGATCTTTGCAAGATCCTTATATTGGGGGCGGGAATGTCAGTCCTGGGACTTGAACTCAGACCCTGGGAGCTATCACTAACCTGTCATGCTAAATGCTAGCACTTTGCCACTTGAACTACAGGTCCACTTCCAGTTATGTTTTGTGGTTAATTGCAGAAAAGAGTCTCATAAGCTCTCTTGATTGGTTGGCTTCAAACCAAGATCCTCACATCTCAGACTCCGGAGTAGCTGCAATTACAGGCATGAGCCACCAGCAGCAACCAGAGCCAGCTTAGCACTACAGTGCTAAGGGATAGAGCAGAGGAAGAGATACAGGTGGGGCCTAATCTGGATCCTCTCTGCTGGGAGTGTGCTTACTGAAATATTATTCAATGGTAACTACATAAGGCCACCAGCCACCAACCAGGAGGACTGCACCCATCCACAGAATGCCTCAAATGTTGGTCAATGACTCCCCTGAGGGAGACTACTTAGAGTCAGTCTTCAGCTGAGTCTGTATTCTTAGGAGCTTCGGTTGCTTCTCCTTGACCTCATCCAACCCCACTCTCCTCACTCACTTTAACAAAGGAAACACACAATATATTAATTGAGCAACCTGTCTCAGTCTCTGCTGCTAAACAAGGTAATTTTGTAATTTCCTTAGCATTTGAAAAGCTCAAGGCCCCATGATAATTTTAAAGACTGAATTGTAAAGCTGAATTTAAGGATTATGTTCTTAATTTCCTACATATACTTTATAGCTTCTTAACACTTTACATTCAAGAACACATGAAGACCTCTAGGAGATATAGAGACATGAAAAGGGTTTTTTAAAGAATTTTATTGATATATATTTCAAATAATAAAATTCACCTATTTGAAGTGGACAATTTAATATCTATGTCCACAGTATCCTGCAACCATCATCACATTATAATTTTAGAAGTTCATCCCCTCCCCCTCCAAAAGACATCCTATAGTCATTAGCAGTGAAGACATGAATGCATTATTTTTGTGGCGTGCTGGTCCTGGGGCTTGAACTCAAAACCTGGCTACTGTTTCTGAGCATTTTTTCTGCTCAATGGTACCACTTGAGCCACAACACCAACAAATGTCTTTTTTGTTGATAGTTAATTAGAGATAAGTTTTATGGATGTTCCTGCCTGGGCTGATTTTGACCCATGATGCTCAGACTTCAACCCCTTGAGTAGCTTGGATTATAGGCATGAGCTACTGCTGTCTGGCATTAATGCATTTTAAAACAATCGAGTTGCTATTGATTCTTTACAACCCCTGTACATACTTCCAGAGTTACTCTGAGAGCTTACCTGTAGTTACAGAGTCATGTTGACTTCTCTATCCCCACCTCTCCTACAGGTCACTTTTTAAAATTTTGCCATAAAGGGTAGTGAAACATACCCCACACAGAGCCACAGTTTACTGAATGAAACCTGTAGTCAGGAAACAAACAGTACAAGATGTGATGTTATTTGAAGTATGTGTCACCAGTGCCATGCAGCTATGGCAGAGATTTATATTTTTATAAGAAGGGTAACTTGACATGTTTAGGATTACTATGAAACTATATAAAACTATATAAAATACTATATAAAATAGGATTGTATAGACAATTGAAATTTACATTTGTTATTTTCACTTATTTTATCTCCAAACACATCAAGGAATCCATTCCTCCTGTAGGTAATTTGTTTATTAAACAAAGAAAAATGAACATTGTAAGATGTTGAAACATTTGGGCACTCTTTTTGTCTACGTTACAAATTTTTGGCAAGGCTCCACACTCTGGTTACTAAAGAATTAGAATTCTAAACTAGAACCTTCACAACGGAATGCTTTGAGGTACATTTGGTTTTTTATTTTTTTGTTTTTTTTTTTTTTAGTCGGTCATGGGGCTTGAACTCTGGGTCTGGGCGCTATCCCTCAGCTCTTCAGCTCAAGGCAAGAGCTCTTCCCATTTAGCCATAGCACCACTTCCAGTTTTCTGAGTGGTTTATTAGAGATAAGAGTCTCTCAGACTTTCCTGCCTGGGCTGGCTTTGAACCATGATCCTCAGCTCTCAGCCCCCTGAGTAGCTAGGATTACAGGCATGAGCCACTGGCACCCAGCAGGTATATTTGTTTAAATTTAAAATAAGTGTAGACATTTAAATGACAGAAAAATAATCAGGATATTTTACTTCTACCAGAAACTTAGTACCATAGGCCAATTTTTCCAGCAGCAAAACAATGAATTAATATTTTGTTAATTATCAAAAGTTAAAAAGGTACCAAGAGGTAAGAAATGTACGCATTATCCTGCCCATGCAATTGTAACCCCTCTGTACAGTATGTTCACAAATAAAATAAAATAAAAATTTTAAAAAAATAAATAAATAAAAGAAAAAAAAAGGTACCAAGAGTTTACTAGACCAACAAGAGGATGGAAATTCTAAAATTGAATTATAGCATTTATATTTCTTTGGCCTTGTAGGAATTTTCCTACAATTAAATAACTGAAAAGGATTTGAGTAAATTCTAGGTAGTGTCATGGGAATAAAAGATAAAAAGTTGATCCATGAAACCTAGCTATATTTTTAAGAAATACATAAAATCCAGTAAATAGAAATAATGATCAACAGTCCCCTAAAGACTGAATCCTGATGATAGAAACAAGACATCAGGTCCTGAAGTACAATTTTAAGGTAATATCAGTTTGTGCCCAGAGAGAAGACAGAAACAAATCAAGTTCTTCTTTGAAAGAAAATATTTTATTAATTCTCAAAGTCTTTTTTTCATGAATAAATTTTAAAAAATAATACAAGATCAAAACAAATAACAAAAACATCAGCATGAGAATCGAGAAATATGAGAAAACAAAAACACAAAGAGATACACAATGATTCAAAAGGTTGAAATTATGTATAAAATGTTAAAGAAGAAAAATGAACTTGTAAAACTCGCAATGTCTTTAGTTTCATAAAGAAAATAGAATATAGAAATTAGAGTAATTGTGATAAAAGAACTTCCAAACTGAAAAGCATAGTAAAACAAGAATGTGGTTGATGATATAATAGATTAGACCTAGAGAAAAAATTAGGAAACTGATAAGTAAATGACAAGAAACTATTCAATATGACACATAAATATATAAAAATATTGAAAATACAGGAGAGTCAGAAACGTAGATGATATCATAAGAAAGAAGACGATATAAGTAAAAAAGGAGAAAGTTCTTTTGGATTTCTAGAAATAGATGAAAGAAAGAATAAGACAGAAGCAACATATGGAGGTACAATTTTTACATCTTTTTTATTTCTGAAGATCTGCTTACACATCATCTACTGTACATTAAGGTTGCTAAGTGTTAACTTGAGTACTACACTCGTGGCAACAAAAGTCTCAACAGAAAGCCAAAGTCTAAAGGACATAAGAAAAGAATATTTCTCAAAGTCCATTTTTTCACAAAGTTTTTAATAATCACATTATTTGAAAATTTGGTGTCAATAACCTTTGGCCCTGTTGAGTACTTTCTAAGAAAGTAAAACATTTATGATACTGATGATATTAAATATTCTATTGTGGTAATGGTACAACAATTTCTTAGAACAAAAATTAATCCTGCTTCAATGTCACTAGACTTGTCCAAAGAATCTAAAAAATATTTAGAGTTAGAAGTTAGAATGTCCATTGGATCAGATTCTAAGAACATGGAAAGGACAGCAACAGAAAGATGACAAACAGACAAGAGAATAGACACTAGATAATGAAGACAGGTTTTTATCAAATCAAGTAGCTGAAAAGCCTGAGGACCTAGAATTCAAAGCATTTTATAAAGAAAATGCATGTACATAACGTACAGAGGTAACAGTTAACAAGACCACACATGGAGCTCACACCTGTATTCTTAGCTTCACAGGAATTGTAGATCAGAAAAGGAACGGTTCAAGGCTAGCCTGGGCAAAAAGTGAGATCCTATCTCAACAGATAACCCAGACTTGGTGGTGTGTGTCTAAAGCTCTAAAACTCATAGGTAGATGAGTCATAGTGTAGGTCCGCTCCAGACAAAAATATGAGACCCTATCTAAAAAAATTAACCTAAAAAACAAAATGGGCTAGAGTCCTCATGGACAGTGTTTGCCTACCAAGTGCATGGTCCTGAATTCTAACCTCAATACTGTCCCCCAAAATAAAACAGAAGCAACATTTTAAAAGATTAAAGAAGTGGAAGATATGTACTAGAGAAAAATCCAGATATCGTACTCAATGATATGCCAAAATGATGATGATAAACAAGAATGGGAACCACCAGAAAACACTGAGACATAAATTCAAAGCACTGCCAGCAAAAATTAAATCACAAGTTCAGAAGAAGAAATTGGCTAAGGAAGAATAATATCACTGATAAGGGCATAACATTTCAATTTGATAATTTCTGCATGCTTAACTCAATATACTTCATAATTGCTGCTGATAGGAATCTCCATAGAAATCTATTTGCACTGATACTATTTACCCTGATATTTTTGGCCAGAAATAATTGTACTCATTTCAAACATATTGCTTTCAAACACATTAATTTTGTGATATGATTTTTTATAAGTTATAATTTTTCCTAGTTAATTAGAAAAATATTTTACAAAAAATTTCGGAGGAAATTTGAAATGGCCATAATCTATTTTTAGACTAGTCAACATTGAAGAGGTCATAAAATATTTTTAGTAAATAAGTAAAACATATAGACAAATAAATAGTACAAAATAGTGTTTTATATGTCAGATTGGTTATGTCACAACTGCAGTCAATGGGCATTTGTTTCAAGTTTAGAAAACTTACATAAAAGTTCTTAGGATTGCTGCTTAATTTCAATCTTGTGTTGTCTTTGGGTAATAAAACAACTGCTCACTATTAGCTTTAATGTTGTCTTTTATTTTATGAAATAACCAGTTAAACTTCTGCTTTAGGACTGAGTTACAACATATAAAAATTTGCACTGGGCTTCACCACATAATAGAATCAATTTTTATTTTTATTTAGTTGTTTGTTTGTTGGATGGTTGGTTGGTCATGTGCCTTGAACTCTGGGTTCTAGGCCCTTAGTTCTTTTGCTCAAAGCTAATGCATTACCATTTTGAGCCACCGCACTTCCAGTTTTCTAGTTTTCTGGTTAATTGGAGATAAGAGTCTCATATACTTTCTTGCTCCAGCTGGCTTTGAATTGTGGTCCTCAGATCTCAGCCACCTGAGTTGCTGGGATTACAGGCATGAGCCATCAAACCTGGCTTATTTTTATTTTTTACTTTTTGGGTATTTTTTCTTCTGAGACCAGGACGCAAACTTGACATCTGCTGTTTTCACTCATTGTTACTCTGCCACCTACAATTATTTATAACCAAGTATAACAATGTATGTTCTTTAAGCACAATTCTGAGAGTATAAAGTATCATTCCAAATTGTAAATTCAAAATTTGGAAATAGATTAATGAATTATAAGCAAAAGAAGAAGTAATCACAAGAAAACTAGAAAATATTGTAGTAATATATGTGGATCTGTGGTTTTGTAGGCACCTGGAAGACAATATATGATTATATATATATATGTACATATTATATATATATATATATATATATATATATATATATCACAGGAAAACCATACAAGAACTAAGCAAGAACTAAGCAAGATCCTTTCAAAAAGTTAGCAAAAATGTGGAATAATTATATTTTTTAAAAGTGGAGAGAAGGAAAAATAAGTTAAAAATAAGTACATACTAAAAAATGCAAATGTCATAATACTAGGAGGCTGGACCATGTTTTATCTGAAGGAGTGGAGCTTAAGGAGGAGATAAGGAAGACAAATGGAGAGAGGAATATAGTCATAATATTCAATGAACCTATGTGAAAATGGAACCAGGTAATTTGAGGGGACAGATAGGTTTGGGATAGATAAGGGGAGGATGTTTGAAGGAATGACACTGATCAAGATGCATTCTATCTGGTAAATTGACAGGTTGAATTGAAACTCCTACATACAACTATTCAAAAATAATAATGAGGGGGAGGAGAAGGAGGAGAAAAAACAAGGAAGAAGAGGAGAAAGAAGAAGAGGAGGGTAGAAGAGGAAGAGGAGAGGAGAAAAGGGGGTGGGGTGAGGACGAAGCAATAGCTGCCGCAGCAGCAACTAGGTGCTAGTGGTTCACGCCTGTAATACTAGCTACCGAGGAGGCTGAGATCTGAGGAGTCCAGTTCAAAGCCCAGGGCAAGAAAGTCTATTAAGACTCTTATCTCCAATTAACCACGAAAAAACGTTGTAAGTGGTGAATGATGTGGCTAAAGTGACAGAGAACTAGCCTTGAACAACAGCCACAACGTAAACAAAAAACTCAGGGACCATATCCAGGGCTCTGAGTTAAAAATCCAAGGACTAGCACAAAATAACACCGACAACAAAAGGAACAGCTTCCACCACAATAAAAACTTTTAAAAATGTTAATTATCTTCCAAGAGTGTAAAGAATAACAAAAATTATGACTTTGGGGAGCCAGATATAATGGTGTTGGTATAAAACGGTGCTCTCCAAAGAACTTGAAGCCCATGCAAAACAAGGAAAACAATATTACACCAAAAACTTCCCATACCTTTAGCAAAGCTAACACAGAATGAATTCTAAGCTTCAAATACTACAAGTTAAACAACCCTCAAAATTGTAACAACTCTTGTCTTCAGCTGTGATAAACAGTTTCAGAAGCTTGCATGGAAAATTGATGGAGAAAGAAAGCTTAGCCAGCCCACAGCTGATATACACTTTATTTATATAGAAAGATCTTGTACAAATGGCCCTTAAAAGGGAAAAAAGTAAAGAAAGAGAAAAATAGAAAATATAATGATAATTTGTATCCTCTCAACTTATTCATGTCTTCTAGGAAAATGATGAGCCATATGTCCAACCAAACAACTATAGTGCAAAGGATTCATTTTACAAGTCTACTACACAAAAGTAAGCATCTCTTACATCGAATTTTTATTTAAAAATGTATTTCTTAATCCTTAATGACACTTGTGTTTTGTGTGAAGTATTCTGGATCTTATGAACATCTAGATCAGAGAATCTCAAACATAGACATTTTCAGTTATGTTGATTAAATGATAAACATGTCAGGATCCTCAAGAACATCATAACTGGTAGCTCACGTATATAATAGCTGCTCAGGAGATTGAGCTTTGAGGATAATGGTTTGGAGCTAATCTCAGCAGGAAAGATGCATTTGTGTGTGTGTGTGCGCGCACGTGCGTGCGCATGCACGCACACACAACAGAATAAAAACAAAACAAGAAAGAAATGCTGAGGGGTCTGTGACATAAAACAGAGTGTAGAGAACAATGGCAGAGAAAACTTAAAGGAAAATAATTCATTCATCCAGTTGACAAATACATTGAATACTGGATTCTATCTCCTAGCCTGTGAGATGGATCTATGAATGAATCAGGCCAAGATCTTAGAAGCTTTCTTTCTAAAGAAAGACAGGCAATATGAAAGCAAATGAAAGACAGTGAAGAATATTTCTTTATGACAGAAATCTCAAACTGTTTAAAATGCACTCACAAGGCAAACACCTCAGCTCTGTCATCTAGTTTCTTAATATAAATTTCCCTTATCTTCATGTTTCTACATGATCAGTCCAATTTGTGACTCAGTCCTTATTGACTCTTGTATCCCAAGTACCTAGTACAATGCTTGAAGCATAGTCATCCAAACAAATTCTTGTGGAGAATTTATGGAGCGTTATGAATTCCCTACAACCCAATTACTTATCTGGAAAGATATTCTTTGCCCATGGAATGCAAAGATCAGCTTTATCAAGAGTTTGCCTAGGTCAGGAGCAGGGATCAGGCATCTATCTGGTGGAGTTTTGCTTTGGGAGTGAGAATATTATTGTTTTTCATTCAGGATGAAATTAGAGTTGATTTTTGCTGGGTCTATCCTAATGTCAACAAGAACACCAGATTTTGAACTCTAAGCAGTGAGATAGTCCTTTTAGATCTGAATCCATTCAAATTAAATAAGTGTATTTAGTAGAATGCCACTTTTTAGGGTTTCTCTTTGCAGTGACTTCAGGATAGCCCATTTATTTGAATGAAGACTTTCATTATATGGGCTTGATTCCTTTTGCCTGATGAAGTAACATATCATGCAGGTTCTCTGGGTTGGGCAATGTTCTCTTTGGGGCCATGGAGATTCTATATGATATGAACCCCAAATAACTTACAATTCTGGCTGCCCTCTATGTATGACACTCTTGTGAACTATACCTATTGAAAGTACATATTGCATGAACTATATTTACTGGCAATTTCCCAGAGCTTTTGAAGATGTTCCTTGGGACAAGATACTGCTACCAAAACTGGAGCCAGAAGAAACAACACTAGAAAAGGCTCCTGATGTTGTGTCACAGTGCTGCACACTGAACAGATATGAAAACAAGCCAGCTGTGACACAGGTGATCAAACATACCTGGGCAACAACACTTTTCTTATTCTTACTAAACTGAACTCTCGAACTTCCATCACATATTATACAACTTGAGGGTATGGATGGAATTAGGAAAGATTGGAGAGGACAATGGAAGGAGTGACATTGATCAAAACACATTGTGCTCATAATCTGATTTGTTGAATTGAAACCCTTTTGTATGACTACTTTGTTTGGGTTTTTTCTTAATGTGTTACTACTAAGAATTAGAGAGGGAGTTGAAAGTTCTCTAGTCAAGGAAGCCATCGATAACTTCTAATATTTTGATAATACCCACACATTTATTGATTAAAGATTATCTTCTTTTTTAATTTAATTTTATTTTATTTGTGAACATACTGTACAGAGGGGTTACAATTACATGGGCAGGATAATGCGTACATTTCTTACCAAGCATTGCAGCCTTGTTTACCCTTCACATCCCTTCCCAGCCTCCCCCCTCCCCCCCAAATCCCAATCCTTCTCCTTCCCCCCTTCCCCCCCCCCGCTCTTCTTATCCAAAATGATTTGCTATGATTATTTTCAAAGTTGCAAAATAATAGTACCTAATGAAGGAAGTGGGAAGAAACCATTTCACCATACACAACCTATTCGGATTATGGCTTTGGAAATAGGATCTAGAACTGAGTTCTGCAAAACCCAAGGCAAAAATGGAAAGATCCGCAAATCATAATCTCTGATTATGCAATAAAGCAATGCATTCTGTGCTGTCAGGTAAAATGTCCATTCTTTTCATTTCTGAAAATCAACAAGTCTTGACAAGTGAATTATTACACCCATATCACAGCTACAGCACTTTTTCTAGAGTGTGAACCGCACATGTTTCCTCTAATCAAATATATATTTTTGTATGAAAAGAAATCTCTACTTCATACCAAACAATTCATGTTCACACCCAATGCTCCATTAATTGCCCCTCCTCTCCTTCTTCCCTTCTCTGTTCCTTCCTTCCCCTTGCTCCACTGCTATATTTTGTCCTCTCTCTGAGGAATTTCTCCTCAAGACCTAGTCAGCCATTCTCCATTCTGGCTTTGTCTTTTGCAAATACTATCTCATTGTCACTATCGCCCTGACTTGGTGTCAGGCCTACCAGCCTTTAGGTTCCATCTTAGCCCTTGCTTACACCTCCTAACAAATACTACAAAGCACCATTAATTACCCAATTCTTTTTTTTTTTTTGGTCAGTCATGGGGCTAGAACTCTAGGCCTGGGCACTGTCCCCTTCAGCTCAAGGCTAGCACTCTACCACTTGAGCCACAGTGTCACTTCCAGCTTTTTCTGTTTATATGATGCTGAGGAATCAAACCCAGGGCCTCATGCATGGAAGGCAAGCACTCTACCACTGAGTCACCTTCCCAGCCTCTACAGTATTATTTTATGCTGAAGCTCAGTGCTAAAAACTTGGAGAAGTTGTTGGATTACTGTTCATAATGAACTTTTTGAATACATAAAATACCCAGGACTAAAAAGAAAACCAGGTGTGTTGCAATAGCATAAACCTGGATCTCATCAAGAATTTTATGAACTCCAGGTTTTAGATGCCAGTGTTAACTTGTAAAATTTTTTCAACATTTATAGAGAAAAAATGATGAGAGGAAATATAAAGTATTTGAGTTTTAAATGCAAAGACTCTAAGATGGGATTTTCATATAGAAGTTAGAGTTAATTGTAATTTCATATGGATTTTTTTGGTGCTGGTCCTGAGGCTTGAACTCAGGGCCTAGATGATGTCCCTAAACACTTTTTCTCAAGGCTAATGCTCTACCATTTGGGCCACAGCTCCATCTGGACTTTTTTGGTAGCTAGTTGGAGATAAGACTCTCACAAATTTTTCTGCCTGGGCTGACTCAGAACTGCAATTTTCAGATCTCATCCCCTTGAGTAGTTAGGATTATGGCATGGGCCACCAGCACCCAGCAGCCTCATTTATTTTTGAAGAGCACCTGACTACTTTAAAGCATTTTTAACTTTCAAAAACTTGTCATTTTGTTATATTTTGCTTGTGTTAAATTTAACTAATATCCACACTTCTTCCCAGGCACTTGCTGTTCTGAGATTAAGAACTGGGCTTAGATAGGGGCTAAGGTGCATCTGAAATCAGATATTTCACATGGGCTTCAAACTGAAGAAGATAAATATGAGGCTGATTCCAGCTGTGAGGAAACATTTAGAAACAAGTCTGACAGCAAAGTAGAGACCAGGAGTGTGCTGGAACCAAGGCCAGAGTTACTGGAATGTCTGGAGAAAGCTTAACAGAGAGTCCGGGCTAGGTTACAGAGGGAGAAGATTGGCAAGGACACTGAAGTTTACATCCTTGACATTATAATGATTTGATCATTAAATCACTTGTTTTGATAATGGTTTTAGATGATCGGTGATTGGCAAGGACACTGAAGTTTACATCCTTGACATTATAATGATTTGATCATTAAATCACTTGTTTTGATAATGGTTTTAGATGATCGGTGGACTCTGGGACAGATTTCAGACAAGATCCTTCTTAACACCAGTCAAACCAATCAATTTGTAAGTGTGATCTCCTAAAGCTAGATTTCTCACTCCCTATGTTTATCATTAAGAACCCATGCCTTTGCCCACAGGGACAGGAGAGAAGTCTGTTCTCAGATGGGAGAGTTTCAGTGTCCTTCCAGTGGACACCTCTAGTCCTGGGAATAGATCCCAAATCCCAGTTCCATTGTTTGGGGTCACCTACTTTCTCTTCATTTCTATTTATCTTCCAGAAAGTCTCTAATAGAAAGTGTGTCACAATCATTCCCAAACAAGGAGTGATTTATAAACAAGTGATAGAGACAATTACAATGTTGTAGTATTCCATTGCCTTTATACTCAAGGGGTTATTACTTCATTTCTATCAATACTTGTATCATGTAATTATTTTGCATTTATTAATGTTATAAAGTATGTTTTTTACTAGTTTTCCCATATCTGATTCTGTACATTTAGTTTTTTTTAAAGCATCCTTAGTATTTCTACCTTAAAAATGCCACTATTTTATTTTGTTTCATTTTTGTAATCCACAAGCAGGTTATCATTTCTTAATTTTTAAAATTCATTTTTGATTATTATATTTGCAGAAATGTATAAATGTAAGGATATGATACAGTTTGTGTATATGCATCCTGGAAATAAGAATATGATATAATCTATGTATCTGCTCTAGACATAAAAGTAAGACCAATGCAAGCTCCCACAGTACCTCTGCTCTTCAGTAAAAGTAGTACAAAATATCTTTGAGAAATTTTTTTTCCATTAGGAGAAATGGTGAATAATGAAAGATACACAGAACCACAATCCTATGATGGCAGGATGTTCTGATATAAAATTAATGCTGAATCTTGTATAGAAAACTTACACTTCATTGAACTGTATTTAAAAATAATGTGCAAGCCTTTTGGCTAATATTATTTGAAATGTCATTTTATCAAACTAGTGAAAAACTCCAAAAAGATTCCAATGTATAATTTAAGTGATCAAAATTCATATAAAACATTGAAACATTCAAAATAATTAGGATCTTTCTGTAAACTGAAAGCTGGGTTGGTTGATAATCCCATTCAAATATCTGTTCTTAAAAATGTAAAATATGGACTAAATAGGACAATATTATGTTTCTTGTGACAAAAGAGAAAATAGCCCCCATGATAAATACTTATTCCCTTTTACATGGATTCAATATATTTTTTAATTCGTTGATAAATCAGCTGTCAATGAAAGCTCTACAGCTTAGCAATATCATACATCAGAACTCCTTAGGGAGTTCTCCCATTGAAATTTACTTCTGTGACCCGTCCTCCCTCAAGAAAAACCCTATGTGTAAATCTTTGTAATACCTTTACTTACAATCTCTAAAATCTAGAATCAACCAAGATACCTTTCATCAGGTGAATGTATAGGCATACCAGAGTGTTACCATGCAATGGAGTACTACCTAATAGTGAAAAAGAACAAATACAACAGCAGCAGGGAAAATATTTTCCCTTTTTGAGATAAGGTTTAATATTTATTTTGTCTTGAATTCACTATTCTCATGCCTCAGCCCCAGGATTGCAGAAGAGAGCCACCAAGTTCAGCTAGGAATCACCCTAAATATATTCTAGTAAATGGAAATAGTCAGACACAAAGATTTATGTGTTATATGGTTCAATTTATGTGACATTCTTGAATGGAAAAATAATGTGTGAATTAATTCTAAAACTATAAGTTTTTAGTGGTTAATTCTTATGAGATATTTCTGAAGACCTTTTATTATTTATTATTATGCTATAATAATTTGATGTTTATTAACAATATCAGTGACCTAATTGCCCATATTCTCTTTTCTTCAAGTGTGAGTTCAAGTACTAGAAGTAGATATATCCCTTACTATACGTAAGTAATAATACTCAATATTTTAAAAATACCAGATTTATATCTAAATTGTTATTGCTTTTGGTACATGCAGGTTTGCAATTCACTTTTCAAGATGTGTACTAACAGATTTCAAATGCTGTTCTATCTAACACACTACTTGTTTAATGTCAAAAGTTTCTTCTAGCTGGGTGTTGGTGGCTCATGCCTGTAATCTTAGCTACTCAGGAGGCTGAAATCAGGATCACAGTTCAAAGCCAGCCCGGGCAGGAAAGTCCGTGAGACTCTTATCTCCAATAAACCACCAGAAAACTGGAAATGGCGCTGTAGCCCAAGTGGTAGAGCACTAGCTTTGAGCTGAAGAGCTAAGGAACAGCACCCAGGCCCAGAGTTCAAGCCCCACAACTCACCAAAAAAAAGTTTCTTCAAAAATTGGTTCAAGGTTTTGATTAAGTCAAAAAGAATGATGAGTGGCATCTATTTTCCTATGTAGGATTTTCTATGAAATTAAATATCTTGGACGTCATTAATAGTGAAAACCAGAGAAAATCTGATACTTGGTGGGGAGGATGCTATGTGTTCATTAACACTGAAGTAATGCAAAGCCAGGGACTGGTAGCTCAAAACTGAAATCCTTGCTACACAAGAGGCTGAAATTTAATTATCATGGTTGGAAAATGGCCCAGAAAGGCTCTTATCTCTCATTAACCAAAAAAGGCCAGAAGTGGAGCTGAAGCTCAAGTGATAGATGCCAGCCTTGAGCAGAGAAAGCTAAGGGAGCTTACCCTGGTTCTGAGGCCCCAGGATAAGCACGGGGAAAAAAAAACCTGGAACTAAAACTGTGATTTAAATGGTAGAGCTCCAGCCTTAAGCCAAAAGCCAAGCAAGAACTCAGTCTAGAGTTCAAGCATGATACAATGAACAAATACATACACATACATTAATCAATTAATTTAAAAACTGAAGTAAAGGAGATGCTAACTCCTATTTTTCCATATTAAATCTGGCTCTGTAGAAGTATATAGTCTGCCCAGGGGAATGGAAATCTTGAAACAAAGGAGTTCAGAGAACTCTTTTTACTATTGTTTCTTCAGGCTTACTGATGATTCCACCAGTGGTCAAAGACTTTGGAGAAGCATCTCCAAATGGCACAGCCTTATTTTGCTCAGCTCCCAAGGGCTTATTGCTAATGGCCTGTATTCCTGGCACCTGCCCTGGCTTCCATCCCCATAGGAGCCTTATTATTTCTGGCAGAGTCCACCCTTCTCTGAGTGTTAGGCTTCCAATCCCTGTCAAGGGAAGGGTTTGTACAAGCACTGCTGGCTTCTGTGCTCAGAAACAGAGGTCTTGCTCTTGCTGTAGCTCAAATCCCAGAAGAAAGAGCACAGCGTCTCTTACTCTGAAAAAGAAAAATTCACTTTTATCTTCTTCAGGTAAATTGTTCGTGTGTGTGTGTGTGTGTGTGTGTGTGTGTCTGTGTGTGTGTCTGTGTGTGTGTGTCTGTGTGTCTGTGTGTATTGATGGTACTAGGGATTGAACTAAGGACTTTGTGCTTGCTAGGCAAGTACTGTACCACTTGACCCATGCCTCCAGCTCCCTTTTACATTAATTATTTTCAAAGTAAGTTCTCACTTACTTTGCCTGGACTAACTTCAGTGACTTGTGCTTCCCTGTATTGCTGGGATTACAGGTACATACCACTTAAGCCAGTCATTAAGTATACCTGATAGTGCCCCCACCAAGCCCAGTCATTGAGATGGAGTTTCAGGAACTTCTTTTTTGCCAAGTCTGTTCTTGAACTACCATCTCCAGATCTTCACCTCCCTTGTATCTGGGATTATGGGCTTTGAAGGCTTGAGCTACCATGCCTGGCATTGGTTTAATTTTTTTTTGCCTCAAGCTTTTAGTCTTTTTCTGCAAATAAAATTGCCTTTAGACATTAGAACAGTCTTCAACTATTTCTTACAAGGATGCCTATGTCCTCTCCTCTTTTCAATCTACCAGTGGTCACGTGCAGTCCACAAACGCAGATGACGTGGACAATCCCTATGGAGACATCACATCCCTTGCCAAGCCTCGGCACTCTAAACTGCTTTACACAAACTCCAGCTGGTGAGTGCCACACACAATTATTTTCACTTGTCTCATTCCTTAGGGTGAAGTAGGTTATGGGATCTATACAAATGAAGAAGAAAAATAGCCTGGCTTCTATTGAACATAGAAGAAAGATACCAAATTCTTGAAAGGACATATAGTTTATCACCAAGAATATTTCAGTTTAAGGGACTCTCCTGAGAGCATTGCACAAATCGCTTCATTTCTGTGAGTTTATTGTCTTCATCTGGAACATGTTGCCCAAAATATCCCCAAAGATGGGTGGGTGGTGACGAGAGAGAGGGGAGGTGGAGGGAGGGATGGAGGGAGGGAAAGGAAGAGGATGAGATAGAAACAAAGTATCAGATACCGCTGATCATATGAAACCATTATAAAAGCTGAAAAACAGAATCATTTAGCACTAAGTGTTGCTTTCCAGAACATTGTTTGTGAAGATGGTGAGTCTCCAGTCCAGATTGGTGGAGGCAGGAAGGAAATACTGAGTTGGAATGCACACTAGTAACCTTAGTTAGTACCAAACTTTGATATTTGGGTCTCACCACCACATCTTTCTCAGCAGAAAAATGTTGTATTCTTCTGCATTTACAATGGGTAAAATCATCTTAAGTAAAAAAACTTCAGCCAAGCACGAATAGCTCAAGCTTGTTTGTAATCTTGGCTGTTCAGAAGGCTAAGATCTGAGGATCACAGTTCAAAGCTATCCTGGGCAGGAAAGTCTGTGAGACTCTTATCTCTTGAGCTGTGGCTTAAGAGGTAGAGGTCAAGTGGGTAGTGCCGTAAGCACAAAAGCTCAAGTACAGTACCCAGGCCCTGAGTTCAAGCCCCAGGACTGGCGCACACTCACAAACATTCACTGAACATGGCTAAGTTACAAATTATTCTAGCAAGCACCACAGCTTCCTGTGAGTAAGTGAATGAGTGAGGTTTGTCATCCTCTTGATCACAGTGCTGATGGGAGCTTGCTCCTTTTTCAGCCAAAGAGAATGATACTACAGTGAGCTAGAAAAGGAAAGAGTTAGAATTCAAATCCAAAGCATATTTTCTGTTAAATACTTATCACTTCTGTTCTACTATACAGTTGAAAATTAAATTGTATCATCATAATCCCAGGATTATATAACATATATGTTATGAAATATATCTATTGGTATTATAAATACATATATATATTGCATATGCTAATATATAATTAATTCATTCATATTCTATATGCTAATATATACTTATATTTTTATATATTATACCTACAACTTATATATTCTTTTGTTCTTTTTTTTATTGTGAAAATACTGTACAGAGGGGTTACAATTACATAGGCAAGATAATGAGTACATTCCTTATCAAACATTGTAGGTTCCTCCTTTGTTTCCCCTTCCCATCCTTCCCATCCTCCTCCTGTTCCCCCACTCAATCCTCCTCCCCCCCAACCAAAGTTGTAAAGTTCGTTTTCGACAAATATATTCTTTTACCTATGTGAATCTTAAGGCTCAGAGGTTAACCTTAGATTGCTTCCAAGACTACTCAGAGACCAAAACTTAAGGCTACTCAAGTCCCTTGTATGAAAGGACTTAGTATTTGCATAAACCCCACATTGCCCTTCATGTACTCTACATTGTCTCTAGATGAGTTATCATACCTAATACAGTGTATATACTGTGTGAACAGTTGCTATACTATATTATTTAGACATGATGATAAGCAAAATGTGTGCATCGTTGACACAGGCACATTTTCCCCCATTATTTTGGGTGTGTAGTTGGTTGAATCTGGGAATGCAGGACTCATGGCTACAAAAGATTCACCATAGTCTCTGGGACAATCAAGGAATGCCTCAAGCAGGAATTCTGTTCTTTTCTCTTTATGCCACTAACTGCCATTCCTCAGGGATGTGCTACCTTTACTCTCTATCACGACTGATAAACCTTGTCAACAAATTCATACAGAGCCATAGCACAAAGCACTACAGAATTAATAATGATTGTGTGCCCATAATACAAACTAACTTCAGTATTACACATGATACTATCTGCTATTGTGATTTTATTACTAATATCTTCAAATATTTGTACACTCAAGTTTTAATTAAACATGCTTATTCATGTGTCCGCGCATCTTGATCAGAGGCACCCCTTCCATCATTCTTCCCTCTCTCCCCTACCCCTTTTCTTCACCAGTCTCAACCAGTTTTCTACTTCCTTTTCATCTATGAATTACGACTGTATCCAGCCATCATTTTTCTTCCATTCATCTTCCACTTCTTATATCCTCCACCAAGAAACTTTAAATACTTCAGTTATCTACTTTACCTAGTTGCTCTGACTACTCTATCAAACTTCAAAATACTGCTCAAACCTCTCTTTGGATTTAAAATATATTTATGTGCTCAATCTCATCAAATAATTCATTAATACCTACCTAGGACTTGAGGTATAGCTCAAATAGAGCATCTGACTAGTATCTACAAGGTTCAGGGTTTAATTCCCCAGTACCCCACCCTCTTCTATCCCAGCCCCGTTCCCACACACCACCAATAACAACACAATAAATTCCTAAAACATTCCAGGTACTGTGCCAAGAACTACAATAATACAGAATATTTTTTTAAGTTTGCCCTCAAGGAGCTAAAACATTTAAAGGGCAGATAAGCTCTGCTCACGAGTAATTATAATGCAGCATGAAATAAGGGTCAGAAGAATTCAGCTTCCTTTTTGGAAGCACAGCATTAGAGAGAAATCATTTTCCTATTTAGGACTTGAAAGGTATAGTGTTGGTCCAGGCCCTCAGGGGGACATGTTGAGATTCTTCCATAAGTTATGAAAAGGAATTACTATTTTAAAATTATTTTTATTATTGTTGAGAGTTGTACAAAGGGGTTATAAATCAACGTGTCCATTTATAAGTACAATGCATTTTAATCAATATCACCCTTGGAAATTACACCCTTGGAAACAACAACTCAAAAAAATCAAAGGACAATAGAGTACAGAAGAAACATTCTTAGTAAAGAAAGCATACTTTGGGGGTGATTCCTCAAAGATAGTGAAGAGAAATCTGGAAAACTGTGAATAAATTTGAGACCATACTATTCTCCCTAATTGTGCTGGTAACTTTTTTTCTTTAATGTGTATATGTGTGTGCCATTCCTGTGGCTTGAATTCAGGACCTGGGTGCTGTCCTTTATTTTTATTTTATTTTATTTTTTGCTCAAGTCTAGCACTCTACCGCTTGAGCCACAGCTCAGCTTTTTGGTGGTTAACCGGAGATAAGAATCTTATAGATTTTCCTTCCTGGGCTGGCTTCAAACTACAGTCTTCAGATCTCAGCCTCCTGTGTAGCTAGAATTACAGGAGTGAGCCACTGGTGCCAAGCTCTGGTGCTCAGCTGGCAAGTTGTTTGTTATCAGTTTTGTAATATATATATATATATATATATATATATATATATATACAATGCATCTTGATAAATGTCACCTCTTTCAACATTCTCCCCAAACTCTCCCAACCCAATCCTTCCCTCACTTTTCTTAATTTTATAGAATATACATTGAAATTGTTAACACTTTTAACACTTTCTCCCTGTAACTTGTTTTTTAAGGAAGTGAAATTACTTGTTGATCATGTAAGTGACTTGGAGGTTAGTTGCACTTCTCCGATTTGAGCACTAGAGAGCGTCCATGTTTGTAAAGTTTCTTCCCTTGATTAATTTTCATTTTTTTAACACAAAATTAACCTTCAAACAGAAAAAAAAACATTTTGATTGTGAAATATCTATAGATGTTAAAATAAAGTGTCATCTGTAACATAAAAAATAACACAATTTACATGCATGCATGTAGATCAGATTCTGAAAGCAAGAATTATTTTCTCATTAAAAACATTTTTATATATTCAACAAGTCAATGCAGCTTGCAGAATCTGGATAACCTTTGTGAACTTTTTGAAATAATATGAATTCACATTCCATTTCTATTCTCTATCCATTTTAAGAATAAGATAAAGATCTTTGAGCCTTGCATTGGTGGGGCTCATACCTATAATCCTAGCTACTTAGAATGCTGAGATCTGAGGATCATGGTTTGAAGCCAGCTTAGGTAGGGAAATCTGTGAGATTCTTTTCTAAAATTAACCAGCATAAAGGTAGAAGTGGAGCTGTGGCTCAAGTGGTAGAGTGCCAGCCCTGAGTGGAAAAAAAAAAGCTAAATTGATAACACCCAATCCCTGAGTTCAAGCCCCAGTATTCACACACAAACCTGTACACACACACACACACAAAGTCTTTGTTATTTCCTAATGTCTGCCTACACACACAATATGCGTGTGCACACACATATTATCATCATTGTTGTTGTCATTGCAGTCCCTCTTCCTCCTCCTCCTCCTCCTCCTCCTCCTCTTCCTCATCCTCTTCCTCCTCCTCATCTTGTCTAGAGCTCAGTAAGGCTGAAGCAAAGTCCTGTTCCTTTTGGTGATTATTTCATAACCCAGTGATGTTTCAGGACCTTGCAGTCAGAAGCAGAAATGTAAAGCTCATCCTATTTGAATGAAAGGCAACTGCAGAATTTTGCATAGCCTGAGTCTCACAGCACCCTATTCTGTGCCCTGTCCTCAGTGAGTGGAAACAGTTGCCCAAAACAGTGCCATGCATTTTCTCCAACGACTGTAGCCACATAAAGCTGCCAGAGCTTCATCTCACCATTGTGTTCTCAGTGACAATAACCACTTGGTACTGATGAGGTACAGGTTCAGGGAACAGAGCCCATAGATGTACTGGTAGTTGGTCTTCTAATCCCATAGCAGTGCTAAGGTTGATATTTGCTATTTTTCCAAAGAAGGCAGCTGTCTCCACCATACCACCCACTATTGAATGGTCACCAGGTGTCAGAATCCCTGTGCATTTCCACCTTAGCGGTTTTGGGGAGGAGGCATTTGCCAATAGTAAAGAATTATCCAGCGTGGATTCCTGGTGAACCCCTGGGAATGGTCTGAGATGGGGAAAGG